AAGCATCACGGTATCTGAAATCAAATCAAATATTAACTCAATTGCCAGCGTCTGCCTAATTTTGTATTTAATTCTAAGCCAGCAGCGTGTGGATTACGTGCAATCACGCAATTTAGACAATCAATCGCAATTGTCTATAATGTTATAACGACAAAGTTAAACATGAATTAATCCAACCACTGACGTACTGGTTATTTTAAACATGTTAATGGTCAAAGTTACTTCTCAACCGGTAAAACCAACTTTACCCTCAAACTCTACTCAATGGGAGTTAATGAGTTATGGGACTCAAGTGACCTGGCTATAAAAATTGATTCAGGGAAGACTCGGGTTGGAAATTGGCCTAGCCTCACCCCTCACCTAGCCAGGTCCGTTGAGAGGAATCATATGATGGTTGCGCTCCCAAGCATCCAAGTCGATTAAGTAGGGCTAGATTAACTCTAATACGACATATAATGAATGATATAATGGCGAGGTTCACAGAACACTAAAAACACACTCTAATTATATCTAGAGGTCCGTCACAGAGCCCAGAAAAACAACACGAACATCACGAAATGTTGCTTTTCCTAAGTCGACGAAGAGTGGATATGGTATTCTTAATTTCCTGATAAACCAGAGTATAAAACTCAGAGATTCACCACTTTAGCTCACCAATTGCCAGCACGAACGACGCAATCTTATAAGCCCTTTTGATATGCACAAGTAAAGGACAGTAATGAATAATGATGGCTATGTTACTATGAAAAGAATCATCCAAGAACACTTCCAGAGTGACAGATACACTGTAAGTTCCATAAAATGAAATGGAGAAGGCAAAAAATACACAGCTGAAAGTATTCAACAAATGTATAAGCGCCTGCCATGTTCAATGATTGCTCTATCCGGGGCTTATCAATACGCATAAATCTCAATTCAGCAACAATCAACGAAAGCTGCTCTCCAAACTTCAACATCTACCACAGTGATGTTCAACCATTATTCATCTACTATGTTAGAAGAAACGTTTCTCTCACAATTGACCATCTGCCAGCAGAAATAAAAACCTTAAGACATCATATTATGCAATTATATAACTACGACAAGGTAAATACACACGCACACACAACCAAATAAAAGAAAGGGAAAAAATAAAGCATGTTACAGACAAGTCACCATCAATAGGCAAGGGTGGAGAACATGAAATCAACAATATTTGATTTAAAATGTTTCAGATATGATTAAAAAAAATTTTTAAGAAATCAGGTCAAAACAATATGCCAATCCCCGCATTGAAACTTTCTAACACATGAAACACAAAATTTAATTTTATACAGATAAACTATTCACCCTAAGATACAACTGTATCTTTCATGGCTAATGCATCCTTGGGCTTAAATAAAAAACAAAAACAGTGATGGTATACAGAATATTCCACTACTCACCAACACTTGTGTAATGAACTAGTCCAAGGGGAAGGGGTAGGTGTAACAGCGTAAGCAATGCATAATCAGTTGTTAGAATAAGCATTTAGGGGAAGCTAGTCAGTAAGTTAGACAAAGAAATGCTATGTAAAGAGAAGAATAGCGAGAAACATGAAGAATAATATTATTGAAAGTTTTCTTTAGTTTTATTTTACACTTCGGGAGAGAACAACCATCTCAAAAGCTTGTATTGTCTTTTAATCCAGCTTTTAATCATAACTTCTGGTAAAATCTCCAGCAGTTTTAAATACTTATTTTAGACTCCAAAACAAATAGAAAGACAAACTTATGATGGCTAGACATGGAAATGGGTTACATATTATAGAACCATGCTACTAATGGTTGGTCAATCATGAAGAGTTCCAGTGTTACATGGACTCTTCATTTTACCTAAGTATCCATGTCGGACCCTCGACACTCGGACATGGGTATGACGCTTGGACACTTCACTTTTGGTTCAAAAATCATTGATTTTTTCCACAAAATAGCCGAGTCGGACGCTTGGACACATACCCATGTCATACATGGGTACCCGAGTCCATGTAACATAGATGAACTAAAATTAAACAAGTGAGAAATAAAAACCACTTATTCTAACAGCAATTTTAATAGAAGGTTATATAAAGAACGGTGATGAAGGAAGGGGGCAGTACACATATTGCACTTACCATACAAGATCACTAACATAATCGTAATCATCACCTACAACATTATACCAGATACTCAGATAGTTCATAGCCCTTAGGTTGCCTGATACTTTGTTTTCTGAATCAAAAGTGGCACATTTTGTATGTTTAGGAGGTAATCATGGATCAGAGAGAAATTAACCATACCTACCTCAAAGCACATGACTGATAGAGAGGTTTAAATGACTAGTGCAAAAGATCTTAAATCACAGAGAGCATTGCTTCTATTGATTTTTGTGCTTATAAGGTGAATCCTGCTTCCTGCCGGTCAAACAGATATACTAAATCTACTACAAAGCACAAGGCTAGTAGTCTGTGGAGTTACAGTCACAGTACCTCAGCTACTGGGTTGGAAGTAATATGTGGTAAAGACAACTTAGAAGATAGGGTTGTTAGGTCCCAATGCCAGCACCATCCAAAACATGCTACACAACTTCAATTCTTCAAGTGGTTGTATTTGGCTACTAGGAGATGAAGATAAAGTAGAGTTGCCAATTTAGGACAGCAATTACCTTAATCAGCTCAATAGTTAAGTACGGAAAGCTGAAGTTAAAGCGCAAGGTGCACTCATGCGAAAAGGGTCCTTGGAAAACTAAGAGCAAGGTGCAAGATGAAGGCATGCACTTCACATATGCGAGGCACATTTATTCCTTTTTGTGTGTGTGTGGTGTGTGTGGGGAGTGTAATTTCAGTATATGACCCACATTTCAAGTAAATGTTAAGACATATGTGAAAGAAAATGAATAAATAAAAATTAAAAAGAGTATAAATATTAAAATACAAGTCCACTGCATGGGAAACAAAAATTGAAAAAACACTGACCACTCAAAACTTTATATTTTTCAGCAAGTGAGCTAGAAAGAATTTGAAACAACAGAGAAACAAAGAGAAAGAGCGAAGAGGAATAATCTGCCAACCTAAAAAGGATGACCAGCGATGGCCACCAGAGGTAAAATGACCAACTACGGTCACAAAAAACACTCACCAACAATCGCAGTCACGTTGTTATGTGACCAGTGAGCAATGACCTCCAATTTGATATAATAGTAAATTAGGATAATGTTACCAAATCAGGGCAGTTGATTTAGCGTCCAAATGGAAGCAATTCCATCAAGGGCTTTGGATCAAATTAGGATCTTAAAGATGGGTAAACTTCATCCTGAGAAATTATAATTAAAGTCAGTAATTTACTTAGGGCTTCTACCCCTCTTTGCCTCTACTCTAAAGCTACCAACGCGCTGCACCAGGAGACATGTGCATTGTGCCAAGGTATGTCAGATGAGTCTACTAAGCCTACGTGAGCCTTTTTCCTAGCATATTAGGGGGCATATGTTACTTGGATTCGCGTGCTTATGTTAAACACAATTATTGTTTTTGGTCCAAAATATAGTGGTGTGTGCCCATACTCCATACTAAATTACTCATGTCGGGGTGTCAAAAATACAACATGGTTTCTTAAGAATTGAGATGAAATGAAGAATCAGATTACAGAGCATTGACACTTTTCAAAATTAAGAACACAAGAAAAAGATGTTAGAATTTGTAGGTCTGTGAGCTCTGATGACAGATGACGACACTTGCCTTGTGTGTTAGTGTGTCATAGTCAGCCTGAGACAGTTACCCCAATTAGTATTTGAATGCAGCTTCAGTCAGGAAATGTGTTGTGGTATGCAGCCCATGCTTATTTTTTTTTTTCTGAGTTTGCAATTTAAGAGCATTAGAAAGACATAAGGAGGGACTAAAGAAGCACAGAAGATCTAAGGTTAAGCGTGGAGTCATCCTAGCTGCTGTAGTTAAGCATGAGAGAAAAGGCAAGGTTGATGTACCACGTTATGTCTTTAGTGAGAAAAATCGAATCTGGTTGGCACCTTACTTTTCTTGTGGACTAGAGCTCTTAGTAGGGGTAGGCCGGATAGTAATCGCCACTTGACATTTATTTTCTTGGCAATGATGAGTATAACACTATATTGTAAGTCAAATCTTGGTGAAAATCCACAGAATCCTTCATTGCTTCTCCTCGCCCGGGCCAAAAATTAGTTATCACCACAACGAAAAACATTTCATTTACTGAACCACTCTCTGTCGTTTCGTAGGTTTTTACGGGCAATCTTTAAAAAAAAAATAATAAAAAAAAAAAAAAAAGGATCTTGATAATCAAACCACTCTCAGTATATTTCAGGCATAATACAGAGATAATGCTTCCCTACTGATAGCAAATTTAACTCACAGCTGGTTTATAATAATCATTCCCCTAATGCCCACGGCCTCAAGGATTTGGTTCATAATTCTCACTTTGTGAAGTTTAAAAATAATGAAAAGGAGAGAAAGAGATATAATTGCAAGTTTGGTATATATGGAATTTTTCGAGAGCATTTGGAGTGCCACATAAGCGAGCATTAAAATTTTATAGATGAGAAAAGAGATTTATAGTTTACTTAAGAATTTAAAAAATTTAAGTGTCAAATAAGTAATAACCAACAAATGAGATCGGAGATTTTAAAAATTCAAAATTATCATTTATTGATATAGGAAGTAATAATCAACAAATGAGATTAGGGATTTAAATTGAATTAGAATAAATAAAAAGTGCCTTTTTTTAGAAAGAAATAATCCATAGAGATCACAAGATATACAGAATGTTAGATGTAAAAAAAAAATTTAAAAAAAAAAAGTGCAAGCATAGGCTTAAATCTAGTTTTTATATTACTCTACACCAAAGACACACCTACATCCCAAGCCTGCTTTTCCAAACAAAATCTTTATATACTACTCAATGTGAGAGCACAACCATGTCAAGGAGGAAGGTGTGGGTTGATGCTGTTAGAGAATGGGGTTTTCAACAATGGCATTGAATCAATGACAATTCTAATTTCATATTGTTTCTACTTTGGTGGGTAATCAGTCTTCACAATAAGTAAAAATAAATGAATAAATAAAAACTTGAAGCAAGTAGGCACTTTTCAGGGAAAAAGGATTCATTTAAACTGAATTTCAAATTAAGATCTCATCAAAAGAATCAAACTTCCATTGAAGAGGAGCGAATGAAAGGACGTATTCCAACCCCAGGATGTGAAGTGTTGACATCGAGAAGCAACTGAAGAGTAAAACTATTTTTAAGTTACATAGGCAGCAATAACCTCACCCACTCATTCAAAGAAAGATTTAGAAATCAATAAACATGGAAATAAAAAAAATAAAAAATAAATAAAAAATAAAAAAGAGTTAAAGTGAAAATCTTCCACTTCTATAATCAGCCACACACAGAAGAACTCCAAGCTAAGGATAAAAACACCCGCGATCTCCAGTCTGTATGTCCTAAGAGGCTAAGATAGCAGAAAGCAACACATTCTTCTCTCCTCTCTAAAAGTATGAAATTCATCTCCATTTGTACATGGTTATGCTCTTCAGTGTCTTTTAAATATATCTCATTATTACTTATCATTAAATATGATAATCATCAAGCAACAGCCTACAAAGCATGCTCAAAGCCTTTGCTAATATCAGACTACCCACAGTTCAAAGCCGGTGATAATGGTTTGGGCTGTAATCAATCCAGCCAAGTAGCCAACAGCAACTATCTTTCTCCTGGTATTTCCATAGATGACTTATTGCCCTCAGCCCCTCAGGCCTCACCCACAAAATTCCTTTATCACAGAATAGGCAAAGGCTCATATGCCCGCAATTTAGAGAACTGACCAACATGACAGAATGAGAGCACATGGAAACGTGATATGAAGCAAGTAAGGCAGCACTAACAAGGGGTGCAGGGTGCTTCAGAAGAAGGCATGAATTTGTACGCAGTTATACAATATCCCACTATGGATCACGAATAAACAATGAAAAGTGGATGTAATCTACTGCTACCAAAGAAAATGGGGAAAGAGTTAAGTTGCAAATGTATTGCAAAAAATTCAAAGAGTCAATTAATAAACAGCACGAAAAACAATCAACTTCCAAACACAACATTAAAACTTTGAAAGTACAAGTATACAACCTCCTTTGCAGTTTGCACCAGTAAGTTTTATTCCTAAACCCAAAATATTTCTTTCTACTAAAATACCATCCCTATGATCAATCTCTCTTGTAATGATAGAGCACCGTGTATTATAGTCTGCCAGTCTATTATCCCACATTGGAAACTCAGCCAGAGAAATTACCCTGCCTTTACAAAAGGACTACAAACAGTCATCGGTCACAAAATAAGTGAGGTAACAACACTTGAGATGTTCCAAATTAGTTAAACATTTGTCAAGAGGACACAGTTAGGGTTAACAAAATCACACACCTTGACATTCGAGGGGTTGTTTTATACTTCCTCCATTTCTTTTTAGTTGCAACACCTTCCTTTTTTGGAAATTGTCAACACTTTCCATTTTTGACATTTCTTTCTCTCTATCTCTCTCCTACCCACATGGGCCCCTCTTATTTTTTTCTCTCTATCTCTCTCCTTTTCAAAAATTGCCAAGGAGACCGTGAAAATAAAAGTGTTGCAACTAAAAAAAACTGAGGAAGTACATTGAAACAGTTATAACTGATTGAATGTAGAGAGATTTAAAGAGCTTCATATGTTTTGTAGATAATTTCAAGTTGCCACTGTATCCCATTCTTTGATGTTGCAACTGAGTGGAGTTAGCTTAATTCCACGTTCTCTCAGTTGATGTTGCAGGAAGCTAGTTACATTATATACTACTAGAGTTCATGTTAACTCCAGGGTACTCTTTCAGAAAATTAAAAAAAAAAAAAAAAAAAAAAAAAAAAAAAAACCTCCAGGGGACATGTGGTGACAGGTATGGAAGAAAAAGTTGGAACTATATTGGTCACTAAGATCGGCCAAGAGAATGGCTTTTAAAAATGTGGCACTTCTGCAAACAAAATGAGCGGAGAAGGGTATGACAATTTAATGGTTGACATTCACCTCATTAGAATTTCAGTATGAGCCACCTATGCCAATACAGGATCTAAGTACAATAAGCCACATACAAAAATGACTTTCCCTTCTAAAACCCTATTGCAGGAATCCCCCAGGATAATCAAAGCCCAGCCATGACCCTATTTTTCCCTACCCATCTCCCCTTTCCCAACCCCATGAGAATCAACACCATGCCATGCCACTTAGAAGGGAGATGGAAGCAGAAACTGTGATTTGTCTCCTGATTTTCCTGCAGTACCTCTCAGCTACAGTGATATTCACCCTACACATATCATAAGTTTGAAATGCACAAGTATTGACATAAAAGTGAAAATAAAAGCTTAGACATCAAAAGCAAAGAAAAAGTTCAGCATTTGCAGATAATAGAGTGCATATAGTATGCTAATAAACAGTCCACTTCAACAGAATACAAAAATTAATCACTAGAGCAACAAGTGGTGGTGTGAATGACACATACCTCACCTATGTATCCTTCTTTGAACCTTTGTCTTTGTCTTCAGCACCAACAGCATCACTTACCAAAGCTATGGGTCTCTCATTAATGACTTCATCTATAATCCCAAATTCTTTAGCCTCTTCTGGTGTCATAAAGTAATCTCTATCCATGTATTTTTGAATAATGTCAACAGATTGCCCTGTATGCTTAGAGTACAATGCATTCAATGAATCCCAGACACGGACAATTTGTTTTGTGTGAATAGTCATATCTTTTGCTTGCCCACTGTAACCACCAGATGGCTGATGGATCATAACTGTTGCGTTTGGGAGTGACCTTCTCTCACCCTTGGTACCCGCTGACAATAGAAGAGAAGCCATCGATGCAGCCTGTCCTAAACAAATGGTATTGATTGGAGAACGGATGTACTGCATTGTATCATAAATTGCAAGACCTGTATTTCAGAGAGATAATGGCGTGGTGTCAATCAACACGATGGCTGAAGATGGTAAGTGAGTAAACAACTACAAGAACTCACCAGCACAATTTAAATTTTCTCCCTTGTCAGGATACACATACAGCCATACACTCCTTCCAGAAATAAATGTCACATACTCGCATAATTTTAACTCCAGAGATGACATGATTTCCTAGAGGACCCTTTATAGCACATGTATCAATCCCAGTTTATCTCAGTCTCTCTCGCTCTCTCACACACACACACCACTCACCATCGATCATTCCAAATATGTTCATTTTGAGACATTGTGACTGACAATTTCAAGATGGCCTAGAACCCTATATACGACTATTACTTCTAGTCGGAGAAAGTAGTTACTATTTAGGAAGCATTAGGTAACCTCTAAAGAAACTTACAAGGGAGATTCTGCACCACCCCCTTCTTCCAGCATAAGAGACTACACGCACGAACACACACTACACTCACACATACACAGTCCCACTTTTCATGTAGTTTCTTCCACTAGAGCATAATTTGAGAAATTCCAAGTTCTCGTCTAAAATACAACAGGAATTCCAAGTTCACCTATGTATATGAAAATTAAACCAAAACACTAGAGAACAAAATGAACTTTAAAATAGATAAAATCATTCACAACAACCATATCCTCATGAAACAAAAGGAGAGCTTAAAAATAACAAAAACCCAGGTAGAAAAACAGATTATATAGAAATTACATGAATTTCCACAAAAATTCACATGCATTTCTGCAATTAAACCAAATGAACTGCTAAAATTACCAAAATTAGTAAAAATCAACAAACACCCACATCATAAAAAACAACAAAATTTCAGAAAACCAAAGAAGAAAAAAAAAAAGTATGAGTGAGAAAACTAACCGGCAGTAACAGCGCCACCGGGTGAATTGAGGTACATGTGAATAGGCTTAGAGGGGTTTTCAGATTCAAGGTATAGAAGCTGAGCAACCACAACATGAGCAGTATCATCGGCGATGGGGCCATTGATGCAGATGATGCGCTCCTTAAGGAGACGAGAGAAGATATCATAGGCTCTCTCTCCTCGAGAAGAGTGCTCAATCACCATTGGAATAAGGCTGTATGCTCGGCATTTTTGAGAAATCAACCCATTTGAGAACGACAACTGTGATGAGCGCAGTGAAAGGCCCTTGGTTATGGCGCTCCGCAGCATCTTTGTCGCTCAGATTTGAGGAGAGAGGAAAGGTTTCTGGAATTGGACGAAGAAATGAGGGGAGGGTTTACTGGTTTTAGTTGAGAATTGTTCGAGACTGCGAATACACGCATCGGCTACAATAACGTAGAGTTGAGCACGGGTTGAGTCGCACTTCCGAAGGATTGAGCTAGAAAGGCAAGTCGATTGGGTATGGGGTCATAGGGATATGGTTTAGGGCGGGTTAGGTTGAATTTGGCTCTCATCTATTTCAATTAGGTAAGCATGTGCGGCAGTTTGGTAGTAAAGATAAGAATAAAAAACGAATTGAGTGATGGGATGGGGTGTAGATGTAAAAATTAAGTGTGTACGTGTGGGGTCTACTATATCTTATCTCTTGCCACGCCTTTTCCCATTTCATAATTGTTGTATAAAATTTATTTATTGTTCACACCGATTATCATATACGGAGTACTAAAAGTTACAGTACTAATTTTTTTATACAATGTAATAGTTGACTGGTTAGGTGAAAGTGTGAAACTACTCAAGATTTTGTGAGGTGAAATAAAGGATGGGTAGAATAGGTATGAGGTGGTATGATACCCACATTTATGGAAAGTCAAGGATACTTTTATTTATGTACTTGATAAAGCAAAGATGGATTAGAGTTTTTTTCCTACAAAATAAGTGGTGAAATAGATATTAATATGAAACTGTTAAGTGGATGGGAGAGTGAATATGTTCGCGACGTGAAAAGATGTGTTATACTCCCCATTCTTTTTTGTTCTACCCGCTTTCCGTTTTAGGTCATTCTTTCGGGTTCTACCTACTTTACTTTATTCTACTTATGTCATACTCCTTTTACCATCTTACCTTTTCAACCCCACAACAATTATACTTTTAGATACTTTTTCTCATACTTTATTCACCCAAGCTAAGAGACGCACACAACGCGTGCATGTGCCATATAAGTAATTTATCAAGCCCGATTATCTGGGTTTTTTCCCACAATATTATCTCCTTAATTATTCTAATAAAAAAAAATATTAGTGATTTTAAAAATTGTTGATTAAAAACAATAAAAAAAATGTTATTAAAAAAAATGTGTTGATGATGTATGTAGGCTAAATAATAAAATTTGACTTCCTTCAAAAAAATTTAAGTAGAAAAGACGGATTTTTTTTATTTGAACAAATATGGTAGTTTTTTTAAAAGGATGGTAGTTTTTTTATAAAAAAAATAAATAAAATGAGAGAGGTATTTTGGGAAAGTGCTGCCATGCGAAATTAGTCTGGGAATCCAGCCCAATGTGGGATGTCATTCGTGAAAGATCAGATGAGTGCTTCTCTATTTCTCTTCCGGATTTGGTTGATCAATTGTCTAAGCAAGATTTGTCCCTGCTAGCAGCCTTAGCTTGGTCTGTTTGGACAAGCCAAGATTCTTGTGCATCTTCGAGAACCCAGCCCACGATTCTTGTGCTTTGGCAGTGAACTTCACGAAATATGTTCTGGATTATAATGTGTATGCAGCACGAGTTTTTGGCAGATCAGTGAGCAAGAAGGTTCTGTCTGCCAGCAGCTGGACAGCTCCTCCGAATGGTGTTGTTAAGATCAACACCGACGCTGCCTTACTGCCTAATAAATCCGTGGGTTTAGGCGTGGTGGCTCGTGATAGTGTTGGGTGTATATTGTTTACTGCTGTGAGGAAGAGAACAGGCTACTGGGACCCTGGTGTAACACCCCCAAAATTCGGGTCTTTGTAAAACGATAAGAGTAACCTTTTTATCTTTCAAAACCAACCATCAAACCTTGGGAGTGTTACTGCTACACTTAGAGGTGGCCAGTGGGCCGGATTGGACCCAGCCCACCCTAACTCGCACGGCTGGTGGGTCACGTGGGTCCGACCCGGTTTCAATCCGGCACAGCCGGCACAGCTCGGATTTAATCCGGGTTGTGTCGTGGGTCCAAAATTTTCGACACAACCCATTTCAACCCAGCTCAGTTTAACCCGTTTGATTCGACCCAAATCGCACAACCCGTTTTGACTCATTTAATTCGACACACCTAGCCCGTGAACCCACCTAACCCGACCCACCTGGCACAACCCAGCCCGCACGGCCCACCCGCACGAATGACCCACCCAACCCGCACGAGCCAACCCACCTAACCCGCACGCATGACCCACCCAACCCGCACGCATGACCCACCCAACCCGTACGGCCGGCACAACCCGCACGGCCCGCACAACCCGCACGGCCCGCACAGCCCGCACAATTCGCACGACCCGCACAGCCCGCACAATTCGCACGACCCGCACGGCCTAACATCCATTTTAAAAAAAAACGGCTAGTTTTTTGTATCTAACGGCTAGTTTTTTGTATCTAACGGCTAGTTTTTTTAAGTGTATGATCATCCATTCTATTTTTCCTATAAATACCAATTCCATTTCACTCAAATTTCCACACAAATTCAAGCTTTCTTTCTCTCTTACTTAAAAATTCTTATTGTTCTCAAATTCTCAAGTGTTATATAGAGTTATATTTTTGTTAAAAAAAATCTCCTTAATATTATTATTAGTATTCTTAAGATTCTAAAAAAAAAAAGTTCTTCTCCATATTATAATTAGTAATCATACAAAAAAAAAATGAGCTCAAGAGGAGGAATGGGAAGGAGTCAAAGTGGTGGTCGAAGTGGTAGCCAAAGGAGTGGTGGTGCAAATTTTTCGTATGAAATTAATACGGAAAATTTAAACCAATTTGTCAATGAATATGGAGATTATGGTTTAGGAGATAGGCAAAATATTCAAACGTCTCCACCACAATATTTCTCCCACGAGTCCCACCAATCATCAAGTTCAACTATGCCACCTCCATCGCAACCAACATCTCAATCTTCATCTCAAGGTAATTTCTAATTAATTTTTATTGTTATGAATATTTAAAAAAACTATTATTAATGATTATAAAGTTAGTTTAGTTTCCAATTTTCTATGATTTACAATTAGTTAATTACCATGAAAAATGCGTTTAAATAAGTATAATTAAAATATTTAAAATTTAAAAGCTTATTTTCATGAATAGCATTTAAAAATTAATTTTAATAATTTGATTTATGAAAGGTGGTGGCGGTGAAAGTAGAGGTCGAGCACATTTTTCTTGGGTGTGGAAACATTTTGAACGAGTTGAGGTCACACCCCCGGGATGGCAACCTGGTCAACCAAAGAGGTTCACGTGTACATGCCTAGTTTGCAAGGCGCTAGGTGCAAATGTCAAGTCATATAATTGGAAAACGGGAGATGGAACCGGAACCTTGAGTCGGCATTTGCAAAATAAACACGACTTGTTCGAAAATGGCCCCCGTCCTTCGGGGGGTGGCGTCCAAACACAATTGGGTGGATACATGAACCAACCCGGCGGAGGTACACCTTTCATTTATAATAAAGATAGAATGATTGATGAAATGAGTACTTTAGTTATTGCTAATGAATACCCTTTTAGTTACGGTGAAAATGCAAACGTTGAGCATTTTAATAAAGTTGCATTACAACCTGCATTTACTCGTGTCCCCCGAAATACCCTAAGACGTTATACACAAACTTCTTATTATAAGTATAGGAGTGGTTTGATTGAATTATTTCGTACTTTTGATGGTCGTGTTAGTTTTACAAGTGATACATGGACTTCTAGTTTTGGCGAACCTTTTCTTTGCATTACTGCTCATTGGGTGGATGATGATTGGTTTATTCAAAAACGTATACTATGTTTTCAAGCTATGGAAGAAAGGCATACCGGTTTTAACATCAAAGTTCGTATTTTGGATTGTTTAAAAGAATTTCACTTGAATAATAAAGTTTTTTCTTTGTCTCTTGATAATGCAACTGCAAACACAAAGTGTATTGACTATTTGAAAAATGACTCCGAGTTGAATTTGTTGTTGGGTGGTAGTCTCTTGCATGTTAGATGTTGTGCTCATATTTTGAATTTGTCTGTTCAAGAGGGTCTCGCTGAGTTGCAACCATTGCTAAACCCAATTAGAACAGTTATAAAATGGATTAGGATTACTCAGTCAGTTTAGAAGAAAGTACATAGCTATGTGTAAAGAGAGAGGTCTTAAGAAAAGACAATGGCCTATTGATACCCCTACCCGTTGGAATTCTACTTTCAAGTTGTTGAGTGATGCTATAAAGTATCGTGATATTTTGACCCAACTTTACAATGAGACTCGTGTTGATCCTACTGAGTTAATAGCCGAAAGTCATTGGACTAATGCTTCTTTTGTTCGTGATGTTTTAAATGCTTTTGATAGTGCAACTCATATTTTCTCTTATATTTATGAGCCTAACGTTCATTTAGTCATAATTGAGTGTGTTAAAGTTGTTCACACCATCGAAGAGCATATGAAGATTGATGGACTTCGTCCCGTTCTTGATAGCATGAAACGTAAGTGGCATACTTATTTTAGTGAATTTCCAATCATTTATGGAATTGCTGCTATTCTTGACCCCGGTGTCAAAGCTGAAGGTTTGGAAAATCTTTTAGAATTTTATTATACAAGTTTAAGTATCGATTATGATGTTAGTGAATATATTAACAAATGCAAATCTGTTTTGGGAGACCTTTATGATCATTATGCATCTATTTATGGTTTTGATTTGGCAACACCAACTACTACTAGCACTTTCGATTCTAGATTTGGTTTTCTTGATAAAGTTATGAAAAAAAAAACACAAAGCATCTACATCATTCTCATCATCATCTTCTTCAACACTTGCTATTAATGATTATTTGTCATATCAACATGAGACCAACAACAACTTTCAAATTATAAAATGGTGGCAAGAACATAAAAAAAGTTTTCCTATATTGGCGAGAATTGCAAAAGATATACTTGCAGTTCCCGCTTCATCTGTTGCTTCCGAGTCTGCTTTTAGTGCAGGTAGAAGAGTGTTAGATGAAAAAAGATCTCGCTTAACTCCGGAAAGCATTCAAATTTGTGTTTGTAAGAAAGATTGGGATCAAGGTGAAAGAAGAACTCAAGGTTTAAAGGAAGACGAAGACGATGAAGATGATCCTGTGATGATATTGGAGTCGTCAACGGATGATGCAGCTTCCGGGGATGATGATGCAACAAACATGGGTGGCTAGAAAAGTCTAAATCAGGTACGCTAAGAACTACGTGGGCTTTGATTCTTTCGGGATACGTAGGCAACTTATTTTTCGAAAATTACAATTTAATT